AAATCTAGGAGTACCACATCGTGATCGCTGTTACCAAGTGGTGGGATGGTCTTACATTAACTAAGTTGCCCGGGATGGGATGTTAAAAGTAGATCCAGGATGTTCTCTCCTCTGGTCGGGATATCTACTACTTGCTGCAGGTTTAGGTCGGCAGCCATCTGCATGAAGGCGTTGTTTATTTCCCTTGATGTTTGGGAACCATTGATTGCATATTTATCCCAGTGCTGGTGACTACAATCCTTGTTCCCACAAATGGGTTAATTGCGCTGAATTATCACCTTGTTGGTATCTTTGGGAGAAGGAAAAGCAAAGGAATAAATCCTACAGAAATCTGGAGTTACATGTAATGCCTAAAGGTTATTGGAGCGACCGCCCTTCTGGCAACTATGTCTGTGCCACGGAGAAATGTGCATCTTGATGGGGGCGGCTTTATCCCGATAAGGCACCTACCCATAGGAGAACATAAACTTTTAACAAAAAATCACGGACGGATCTAGACTTTTGAGCCACATTAAGCCATAGATCCAAGGGAAAGAAACCATATTAAACAATTTACCCTAGTCCACCAGATTGAGGGGCTAACAAACCTGTCCTCCAGGGTTTACCTGAGGGAAGACCTGAGCACTGCTAAAACAAATCAGATGTTGACATTGGAATGTGAGTAAGGCACGAGACAGGCAAGCTGGCAAAGTAACATCTGAAATGAGACGATTTAAAAAAAACATGGGTGGATAAACTGTGCTCTTCTCTGGGAAAGGTAGATCACAACCTACGCCATGAAGGAGTAACCATCAGTCATTTCTTGGGTTCAGTCTTTATTGGTGGTTTTTCTTGCGATGGGTGCTTTTTATTTGTTTCTTTCAATGTACAATATGACAACTTGCATTTGCTTCCACATTTGTTGCCCACATGGTCTCCTCACCTTCACCCGATCTGTCTAGCAAGATTTGGAATTTGCATCTTCTTAAATCGCTGATGAAGGCAGATTTCATGGTGCTGTCCCTCAGTATGTGAGTGTAGAATTGCATTTGAGTGTTAAGCCTTGTCTCAACTTTTATCAGATTGATTTTGATTTTCATGAGTGCTGTCACCAGGCCCGAAGACCATAAACTGAGAATAGACTTAAGTCAAAATTTCAAATCAATGTAACTTTTTAACAAAATTGTCAAGTTATATTTGTATTCAAATATTTAACAAACTTGAAAGTTTTTAGGCGTGTTCATTGAATAATAATTAGAATATCCAACATCTAAATTTTGACTTAAGTATATTCTCAGCGCTTTATGGTCTTGGGGCCAGGTGATGGTAGCTGCCTATATCTGCATTCCTCTTGAACATAACATCTAGTGGAGATACTAGTAGGGCGTCTCCACTTACCAGTAATCATTAAATAATAAATCTGGTTCCTGATCCTTCCCCTTTGCGAGTTCCAGATAAGAAATATCACGATGAGTGAAGATGATTCCTCCTATCAATAGGACTCCATCAGTTTTTCGCCTTGATTGCTCCTGGTCTCAACCCCGTGCTTTTCGATGGCTCTTTCATCGTCGATGTTGTCTTTTACGACCTTGGCATTTAGATCCCCGTTGATGACAAGGAGGTTGTACCTTGGGGTCTTCTCTGACTCTGCCTGTGGCTAGTTGTAGAGGTTGTCTTTGTCTTTATCCATACTGTTATTGGTTGGTGCGTAGCATTGTATTTAAAATGTGGTACGTGTTGATATGCTTGCCCTTCAATCTTGCACTCATCAATCTATCATTATGCCATTTTATGGCCTCCATTCCAGCAGGCATCGTTCTTTACCTTTCTCGAGCAGACTGTGTTTGCTACTGAAGAGGGAAGGGAAATCAAGAAAAAGATCAAGCTCCTACGACTTCGCGAGAGACAAGATGAGATATACATTTATATTGAGGTCCACAAAAAAGTGAAGAAACCTTGCACGCCGTGACAAGTGAGAAGCCATGGACCAACTTGCAGCTCAGGCAGAGGAGATGGCAGTAGGGGGATATCAAGGGAGAATTATAAGATCATTAAACGAGTGCGTCGAAAATTAAGAGGAAACACAAGATGACATACCAAGGACAAACATGGAACACTACTGACAACAGAAAGAAAGAAGAAAATTGGGCAGAACCCCTCCGCTTTTTTGCCCTCTGGAGTACAGTGCAGTAAATTAAATACTTAGGATATTCTGTCCCAAAAAGATTAAAAATGTAGACCTGCTGAGCAGATGCAAATAAGAGGACTTCGTACTATCACCTCCAAACGCTGATGAAGATGGATAGAACATGTTTTTTGAAAAGAACCTTAGTCAACAACATGAGCAGCACTGTACTTGATCCCACATGGCAAAAGAAAGAGAGGGAGTTCAAGAAGATCATGGAGAAGGACGGCGGAAAGAGAGATGAAAGCCATTCACTAGATTGGTGATCATAAAATAGGCTGAACCAGGATTGACAAAAGTGATGGAAGTTTGTTTCTGCCGTACACATCACATGGAGAATTAAGATATTTTAAAAAGTCAACCATAACATTTTGTGAAGAGAAAAATCAATATATACAGCACATTCTTTCTCAGGATTGGTCTGAGATGATTACAGACGAAGACCAGCTGAGTAGATGCAGAGCAGGACATTTAGGTATCAAACTAAACGCAGATGAAGATTGGATAGGATAAATTGTAAGAAACGACAACCAGTCAACAACAAGAACGGTACTGCAGCACTTGACCCTGTAAGTATTAAGAAAGAGATCAAGGCCAAGAGGGTCATGGAGAAGGACGGTGGAAAGAGAGACGATAGTCATGCACCAGACTGATGATCATAAAATAGGCTGGCCAAGGATAGACAGGAGTGGAGGAAGTTAATTGTTGCTGCCCTACACACCACAGGGTGTAAAGGAAAATGGTCATGATGTATTGAAATCAATTAAGATATACCTTGAAGTCCATTATTAGCAGTAAAAAACGATTTAGTATTTATTTTTATATATAAAAACTATTGCAAGGCCTTAAGGTTGATTTTATTTTCTTAATCTTTATTCTATATCTATGCCGTATTGAAACTGCACTGCATTTGACCCGAGAGAGCAAAAAGAGGAAGGCCTAGAACATCAGTGTGATGGACAGTTGAAAGCAAGAGGAAATTCTTGCACCAGACTTGGGGATCACTAACTGGACTGGCCAAGGATTGACAAGAGTGGAGGAAGTTTGTTGTGTAAAAAGGTGTAAAGGACGATGATGATTTGACAAACCTCGAGAAATACATTTACTGAAAACTTGAATTAAAATATTTTTTTTAAAAAATCAAACCAGAACATTTTGTACAGTGCAAGCTATACACCACATTTCTTTTTTCTTTCTGTTGTATCGAAGAAAAATCAGTTCAAAAATTCAAAAATAGATATATTCTTAATCTATATTCTTATTTATGCAGCAATATACCTTCATCACCTGCATACGGAGTTTCAATCTTTCAATTGATTCGATACGCAAGAGCATGCTCTACGTATGTGCAATTTCTAAAACGAGGTAAATTATTGACAAACAAGTTGATGAAACAAGAATATCAACAATTTCGTTTTAAGTCATCATTTTGTAAGTTCTTTGGTCCATACAATGACCTTGTCAGCAAATACAATTTATCTTTGGGTCAAATGCTGACTGACGTTTTTCATATTAATTGTTAGTCGGTTATTTACACATTGAATTGACGTTATTTCCCGATCATGACAAGGAGTGCACGACGGATGTGACCGGTCTACAGGGGATGCTCACTCCTCCATGGTACCTGATCCCATCTATCTATTTCGGAGGTCCGTGTTTGCTTTGCTCCTATTTGGTATTGTTTATTAAACTTTTGAGCTTAAATACTGTTCGCTGTTTCCATATACTGTAGAAGTACTTTTTTCCGCTTGATATTAATTTAAACCATGTACGCGCTCACAATTTTACCGCGGAAGTTTGCCCAAGCGTACTTAATATAAATGTAAGACATATATAGAGACAATCTAGAAAATCCGCGTAATTTTCTACACGCGGTTTAAACAGAAATTGAGATTCCGCGGAATTTTAACCCCGTGGAAAAAAGTACGTCTACAGTATTTCGAATATCATTCCTATATAATTGCATATAAGTGCTTTATGATAAATCAAGGATAATTTTTATTGAGTGTGTTGTTGTAAATCAGTCTTGAACCCACACATAAAGACATCTCACTCTCTTGTTGTATACTTTTTCCTCTTTGACCAATGATGAATGAGTTTCCATAGAAAGTTAATCTAAGTCAATTACGATCAGTACATATTTATTGTGAATCTCATTCTACAGAGTTTGGTAAATCAAGTATTCTATTCAAAGAAATGCTCTTTGGTTGTTTTATATAAACAACATTATTTCCCGATTCAAATTTCCCAGTAAAATATGCTGAATACATCATCAAAGATGACCATGAAGAAAAACTTTGAAATATTTTTTAGTATCTTAAAACACATTGAAAATACATAATGTCGACCTTATTATTTTACAGGATGTGATCATGTACATGAATCGTAAACTAACACTAGTTCCCCAGTGTTCCGACAAAACCTTGAATTTCCAATTGTAGCCTATCAAAACTAGGTGGCCTTGATTTTTGAAATTAAAATCGACATCGAAAAAGCAAATTTACAAGAGTTCTATCCTTCCTAATTCATTGGTTCTTGGAAAACGATTTCTTAAAGAATCCAACCTGTGTCCATTATGTAATATTTACCCCCTTCTCTTTCGGAAGGAGGCTTAAAGCTCTTTTGGGTTAAAGAATGCCCTTTATAAACGGTTGCTTCGTGTTATTTGCTAAATTGGTTCAGTGGTTCTGGTGGAAAAGCTTAAAAATGTAAAAGATAAAAGAACCGAAAGACAGATAGTCAATTACATAGAATAACATTTTGATTAAAAAAATCGTTGATTCTCGAATTCAAATGAGCTAAAAATCTTTTTAAACCGATGGATTTTATCCCATATTGTAAACAATATTAATGACAGTATTTTTGACAAAATCATAAATTGTTCAGACAACTTCTATATGTATAGCAGTCCCGTTTCATTTCTCGTTCTTGTCTTTACAGTAGTTCCAGATTCCTGATGGGGAGCGGATCCAGACGAGGCGGGAGTTCAGTGGGGGACACTATGTCAAGGTTGATTTCGCGAGGTCCCAGGTCCGGTGTGCTGGAAAGCTGTGTGGAGTCGAAGTTAGCTGGGGATTCCCCTAGAGGGGCGTTTCCGTACTGGTTTACAATGGTGGAGATCTGGTTCTCAAGAGACAAATAGGGTGCAGCTCGCCTGTCCATCAAAGTAAAAAAAAAACCTCATTTTCCTCAAATTTGATTCAAACACATTGTAAATATTTTATTTTAAAAAATATCTTAACTTAATTAAATATGTAAATAAAACAAATGAAAGGCAAATTAATTTTATTTATCCTATCTTGCTAGAGTCACAAGAGGCAGGGAATACTTACGTGGATCTCTCAATGATAACAGCGGATGTGATAGTGGCAGTAAGGAGTGCAGCCGCAACCAATACAACAGTGGCAATGATGACGTCAGAATTCGAAGAAGCCTTAGCTGAAGGTAAAATGAAGAACATGAGCAAATAAGAGAATTATTAATTATATTAAGAAAGCTTAAATGAATCAACTTACCCATTTGTGGGGTCGTCACCTCTTGTTCCGTCGGGCAAGTGGAGATTCCCTGACCAGCATCGGGATCTAAACATTTCAATGTGAAGCTTGCATTAAATATTGTGCCTAAACTCTCTGAAATCTATACAGTCTACAATTCTACCTTTATTCAGTTTTTGTCTTACCTAGTTTTGGTACGAGGGTCGGTACAACACTACATAGATAATCAAAGGAGTCTACATAATACACGTAATAGGAGTCGGGATCGCTCGCTATTCCCTGAATCTCAGGATTTCTTTTCGAATCCTCCCCGATCCCGATTGCAAACACTTCTGCATTTAAATCTGACCTCAGCTCGTTGGCTGTTCTTACAGTCAGAGGATAATTTGTTGATTGTCCATCAGTCATTACTAGAACGGCTTTCATGGAGTTATTTCTGGCTCCACGCATGGACAGGAATGACGTAGTTTTGACGTATGTCAGGGCGTCAAACGTGTATGTTCCTCCCCCAGTCCTGAGAGTCGTTTTTAGCCGTTCAATGGCACTAAGTAACGTAGAATTAACGACATAGTCATCCAAGTCAAACTGCTCTTTGACGTCACTAGCGTAAGTTACCACGGCCACCTGAATGTCTTGGGGACCTATTTTTATCCATTTTGTGACGTTATAAATGAAATCAATGGCATCTCCTAGATCTGTTGCGTCCACACTGTCAGATGTATCGATCACTAACACGATATCTAATTTAAAAAAAAAAATAACTCAAGATAATACACGGAGGTATCAAACAGTTAACAAGCTCACAACTCCATTATGAATACAGATTGGGTACAGAGAAAACAACCTCTTAAACATAAGAGGTAGAATCAGGAGTCATGAAGGGTCAGCACTTCCTTGTTAATCAGTCATATCTGTTGTGTACTCTTTGACATAATCGGATGAACGGAAACAACGTGGAAGCAAGAGCATAACCATTTGTATGAAAAAGTCACTCAACATTCGATAGAATATACATGTATTTGCTAACACATTCATTGTATCGACTTGAGAATGTCGGCTTGCCTGATGAAGAAATGTTTCTAACAGTGCACTTGCTCTTGCGTAATGAATCAACTTGGAGGCATGGACTCCACATGCAGCTGATGGTATAATGCTACATAAAATAAAAAAAATGCTTAATCACCTGCATACGGGTTTATATATCTCAGTTGATTCGATACGAAAGAGCATGCCTTACGTATGTACCATTTCAAAATCGGTAAATTATTTTCAAACATGTTGATGAAACAAGAATATCAGCAATTTCGTTTTTAAGTCATCATTTTGTAAGGTCTATGGTCGATGCAATGACCTTGTCAACAAATATAATTTATAATTGAGTCAAATGCTGACTGAAGTTTTTCATACTAATTGTTTGGCCATTATTTACACACTGAATTGACCACAGATTTCCCCTTTATTTCCCGATCATGACAAGGAGCACACGACGGATGTGACCGGTCGACAGGGGATGCTCACCCCTCCCTGGCACCTTATCCCATCTCTGATGTTTTGGTCATGTGTTTGTTCTGCTCAAACTTTGTAATGTGTTAAAATGAACGTTTGGGTATGACTGCTATTCGTATTATTCATATTTCATTCTGATTCTTATACAATAGGCTTTCAAGTGCACTCAGGTCAGTTATGAACTCCTACACGCCTGAGATAAGACACAAATGGTGACTTGTAATGGTTAGATAATAGGAAAGGATGTTTATCAACATCATATGGCAGTAAAAAAGAATTACAACTAAGGAGATTAACTTTATAGGTACTAATATAGTCGGTAAACATCTAAGTTGTTCAGAAATGTAGATCAAATAGCATTTTTTGAAACTGATTAAAGATTTTCTAGTGTGTAATGGTCCTTAGATGTTATAAAAGCATATTATACTTTGTAAGAAATCATTCAGATGGATGGAAGTATTTTAGTCATTGTAGTAATGTATAAAAAGATGAAAGGGAACAAATGTGTTTCTTATAAGAGTAGCGGTAGGACTAACCAAGAGCATTTTTGATTAGAGTTGTTTCAGACCTACCTTTATATATGGCACATACTCCAACAAGGTAAAATATGACAAAAAGGAAACCGATTTTCATTGTTTTAACGGACAATTACACTTTTCTTAGGCAATCAAAAAAGAAAACAAACTATATCATCGTTGCTAACTAAGAAGACTTTTGGCACTGAAGTGCAGTTCATGTACAATCTGTATTTTCAGTGAACAATAATGGATTAAAAATTAACAGGTTTAACGCGAAACAATGACCCACTTGTCATTTCATTGCGAGGATTACTGTAAATTAAAGTTCCAATAGTAATAACACGGTGTGGATTAGCAATGCATGGGGCTAAGCCTGGGATATGCAAATTCATTTATATTATCTCCCCTTCATGTTGAAACAATATCAAAATCGAATATTTTGTAACAGGTTGATTTTTTCTGCTTATTTTGTTTTGATCAACGAGTAGAATGCTTGAAAACGATTTTGACCTTGTTTTCAATCTGTAAGCTTTTTTTAAAGAGGAACAAATATGCATTTTATATATACTAGTCTGATCCAAACTTAACCATAGTAAACAAACCTTTCAGTGCATAGAACATTTAAAACAAAATTTTCTTAAGTATCATTACACTTCCTCTTCTGTCTTTTAAATCTTTTACATATTGCTAAGTTCTTTTGAGTCTTAAGAGAATCGTGTAAAACAAGTGAAAGGTAATATACATTTGCAAACAATAAAATCCTTCATTAAGTTATGAGATGATTATATGTATATTAAAATATTGCCATGTTTGTCTGTTTCATATTTAGATATTTTCCTGGATAAGACGCCAGTGGAAACATCACGATAAAACCTTACGATAAACGTGACGATTTCAACTTTTCTATTAATAGTTTACTTGTCGTTTTTATATACCCGGTATGTAACATGTGCAAAAGTGGTTATTTCTCACAGTTCTTTCGATATGCAAGAGCATGTTATACCCATAGGTACAAAAATTTCTGAAACGAGACAAGCTATTGAAAAACAAATCAATTAATCAAAGACATCACCAGTCATGTCTATAGTCAATATTTCGTAAAGGATTGGGTCGATATTACAATCTAGTCAGCAAAACCAATCTATCATTAAGTCGAAGATTGAATGACATTTTTAATTCTAAAAGTCCCTCCATTATTTATACACTGAATTGTCAAAGGATTTTCTCATAAATTACTTGATCATGCCAAGGAACACACGTCGGGTGTGACCGATGGGCAGGGAATGTTTACTCCTTCTTGGCACCTGAACCAACCTCTGATGTTTTAAGGTCTGTGTTTGCTGTGTTCCTATTTGTATTGTTCAGTGAACTTTTGAGCTTGAATACTGTTCGCTATCGACATATATACACATCAAGAACATTGATCAATGTTCTTTATCTTCATATCTTTTGTATTTAAGATCATATAGGGAATAGGGAATAGGAAATTTAAGGTTGGTGTCTTAGAGAGCTCTAGTCATGTTCAGATGTATGTGTTTGCTCTGGTTTATATTGTTTGAACGGACCTTTGATCTTGAAAAGTGTACGTTAAAGTGTTCTCCATGTATTTTATTTTCGAAATAGGGAGCCAGAGAATTAGTCTATAAAACGGCTGCTTCACAAAAGCCAAGTTCTTAAATCATCTCGAAGTTTAATATCCCCGCATTCTGGAGGAAAAAATCCCATCAAAATTAATGACAAATTCTTTTCAGAAAAAAAAGCAGACAGGGCCTAACAACTAAGCGTGGCGGCATGTAGTCTATGTGAAATATATGGAGATAACAAACAGTATTGAGCTTGAAGGACCATCAAACAATACAAATATAGAGCAAAGCTAACATACACCTATAAAACATCAGAGGTGGGATCAAGTGCCATGGAGGAGCACACCCGCCGTGTTCTCCTTGTCATGATAGAGAAATAACGAAGAATTCCTTCTACAATTCCGTATGTAAATATTTGTCTTACTTTTAGTATGAAAAACGTCAGTCAGCATTTGACTTCATAAACTGTCGTTGCTGACTAGGCAAAACAACCAAAGAACTTATGATGACTTTAAGGAGAAGTGATTCGAAAAAAAAATGGATGCTTGGATTGATAGATACTTTTTGACATTTTTTTTGGTTGTAAATGATCAGAATAATAAATTCTAAAATATTAGATAGATAGATAGATATTTATTTGGTATACTACATATGCGTAATTACAATGCATTTTTGACAATATAAAATATAAAGGTTTGGCACTAAACAAAAGAATTAAAATAAAATATCGGAAATCGATGGACATGAATATGATTCACATTCACGTTTGTATACCAAGGATAACCCATGAAAGCCAAAGGCTTATTTCCAATGGGGTCCTTATACTCATACATTTAAATTTAAATTGATGTTAACTAAAATGAACAGAAAAATATAAATACTAATGCTAAGATGTGGGATCAAGTTGACAACACACAGATCCTTAAAAATGAATTGTAGTGTTTATATACCAAATCTTCACATGGTTGTAATCTAGACAACTAATGATAAGAAAGAACAAAACTAATAAAAACACGACTCGGCTTTTACACTGGGTTATTCCCCTTCCTGATAAAAATTTCTTGACATTCCTTTTAACAGCAAACTTTTTTCCAGTATTCAAAACGGGTTTAATTTCTGCAGGTAACATGTTCCAATCTCTGATTCCATTAAAACAAAAAGAATCAGATTGTTTATGCTTAATTGATGGTACAACAAAATCTGCATTTGAGGCTGATCTAGTATGATAACTACTAAAATTTGACCAAAGTAAACTAGAGGTACTGTGAGCGATGAGCTCACTAAATGATACCCCCGCCTCCATATAGTTGTAATGGCAAAGTCCATGTTTGCTGTGGCCGGGAAACCCAAAATATGTGTCAGATCAAAAAGTAAAATAGGAGGTGCACAATGGAAATGTGTAATAAACATTCTATGAAAGTTTCATCAAATTTCATTCAGTGGTATGAGAGGAGTTGCGGATAAGAGATGGGTACCCCAAAGCGTAACAGACGGACGGACGGACAGACAGACGGACGGACGGACGGACAGACGTACAGACGGACGGAATTAACGATTACTATATACCCTCTCGCTTTTCAAGCGGGGGGTATAATAATAAAAAAAGATGTTCGTTAAGATAAGAAGGGGCTTTTCCTTGAAAAACATTAAAAACATTAAGAAATTGTACACTGATGGCCGCAGCAATTCACGAGTTTCTTTTTCACTGAAGCAGCAGTCGTCATTTGTGATGCCAGAGAAAACGTTCTTTAATTTCGGAAATTGAGGGGGAAAAGTTTTGATGTTATCATTAAGTAAAATTCAAGTATTTCTTTTTTTGAAAAAAAATTTCCTTTGAGGTATCCACATTTGGTAAACCCGTTAAGGAACTTTTAAAAATTACTTTTTTGAAAGCAATGGAGTGCTACTTGTACATTAACCTGCGTGTAAAATCCCCATGTTTCGTCATTCTTGTTTGAACGCTCAGGAATAGAAAGTTGAAAAATACAGTGATAACAGAATTTGTTAAGTTTCTTATTCTCCTTCCCGTGCCTCATCCTCCGTTCACATGTAGACGCCGCTTCTACTGTGATCAAATTGTGGCCAAAAAAGAAGAAGGTACAGTTTCAATACAATTTAAGCCCTATATTTTTCTAAAATATGAAAGTGATATAAAAAATAAAAATTCATTCTTTCTGAATCATAGAAATTCCGTGCAGTAAGGAGACACAAACCGTTTTTCTCATATGACCTCCCAAATGCTAATTGTGACGTCATTAACTTGTGCATTTTCCCGTATTTTCTTTGAAAGTTGCAGAAGACATTTAATTTTCGGTGGAATTTTCTTTCAGCAAACATACTCTGCCACCGTCGCCCAGAAAATTTTTGAGATATGTGATTTTTCATAGCATTTTACATAATATATGAAAAAATTAAAGCGGGCGACAGTGGCAGACACTGTTTTCGAAAGGAAAATTAGCACAGAAATGAGTCATTTTGGGGCTTTTCTGCATTTAACATAGAAATGTACCAAATTAATGACGTCATATTTCCAGAAAGGCCCTCCTTTATGCCATATTCTTTTATGATTTATCATATTCATCTTCTCAACTATTGTTAAAGCTAATTTCATAACTTTTTAAGAACATTAATATTTTAGGGCACAATAAAGCTCAAACTGTACCCTCTTCTTTGCCGATCGTGACAAATTGCAGGAGAAACGTTGTCTTCCTGAGTGCAGTATAATCGCGGTAGGGTCTTCAAGATCGAAGAGCTCTACGCTCTCGCCATGCTCAAAGGCGTAAAGAGAGCGTAGTAGAAGCGCCGTAATCGCACAAGCAGCTCAGAAGCATCATGGAGAGATCTTCGTGATCGTATAAAAAGCGCAGTAAAGTGTAGGAACTATCAAGTACGCTCGTACAACGCTCCCACTACGTTCCTGGCGATCCTACAGTGACCTTACGACGATTATACCACGAACTATCCGGCAGCTGTTTGTTGTTATATAGCGCAGATATTTGACCAATCATCATTTGTCAACTAAGGATGTCACTATATTGACACTGACGATCATTTGCAGTTGAGACTTCGAACTTTTCACATCTTGTTACAGTTACAATTGAAAATATCCCGTAAATCACGTGGTCAAGACCGTGAAAAATCTGCGGTTGGAAGATATATATAAATAATTTAATTTTAGTTGTAACACGTCATTTGATTGGATAAACAATTTTATCCATATTGTATAATATAACTTGCCTACGTCACAATGCGTCACGTCAAAAACTTATTACTCCGCTTGAAGTTACTTTTAAATTATGCTTAAATTTGAAGCTCTTTTTCGGAGGAAAAATTGTCTCAATGTCTACACTGAAATTAAATTATAAGGAATAAAGCTTACTTCAACTTATGTTATACGATATAACATAACTTGGGACAGTTTACGCTTTATATAAACCGCTTTGCGGTTTATAAAAAGCGTAAACTGTCCCAGGTTATCTTATATCGTATAACATAAGTTGAAATAAGCTTCATTCCTTAAATCATCGCCAAAATCGTACAAGAAGCGTAATATGATTGGCACCACGGTACCGATA